CGCAGAGAAGTAGCTACCGAGCGATGACGAGTAACGCTCAAACATCACCTAATTTATTATGGGTTATACTCAACTACGCGAGCACACTCACCCTAAAGGAAGTCCCAGCAGCATAAACATGCAGTCTGGCCTCAACAAATACTTAGGACCTCCATTTTCTGGCGATCAAACATCAATCTAGACAGAGGTGCATGAAGAAAAGATCAGAGGGGGCAAGCTCAACTATAGGTAACGGCTGCATAATAAAAGGATGCGTTGCCAATTAATGACTTCCAACAGATGAGATAGCACGTTGAAGCCGGCAGCAGTCTGACTGGACAAAATTCTCCGAAGTAAGTCCGGACAGCATATAGACGAGGCCTCTTCCCGATACGACGCACTGCAGGCATGTTCTCGGTATCTACACTTTGCTGGCGGAGCAGCACACGATCACTCGATGATATATAAAGCACAACACCCTCTCGCACCCGCGTCCCCTGCTGCCAGCTTTACCCACAATCCGGTACGACATTTTATGCTTTTTCTATATTAATCAAAAGCAATCTACTACCCAGAGGCCTGCATTACATATGCGCCGGATATTTTCCGGGAGCAGAAGAGATCTCTGTCTGGCAAACGCTTTCTTTTTTAATTCCACCCCCCCTGCACAGCCGGCAAAACTACACACCTTACATAGAGACGCCCAAAAAAAAGACGGGCAGTTTCTGTGCGTGGGGATCGCGTGACTGTGGTGCTTTATCAGTGCATGTACAACGCGGTAGGTAGTCGACATGTGTGTTGCTGTTTACATGGCGGGGTAATAAACAGCGGTGGTGGGACGTGGTGGATGGTCCGCAAGTGGGTATCATAGGCTGAAAAGCATGCACATACCCGGCGGGTGGGCGCCTGTGGCGGGCGTTTTTCACGACTTCAGTTCTTCAAAAGTCGTACCCAGACCGCCAAAAGTGAGAGACGGGGCGAGAGAACGGGTGAAAACAGATGTCATTGTGGGATCATATGGTATCTCCACACATACATATGGCCCTAAGCTTGACTCTCTACGTACACAAGAGCCAGAGAACAACTGGCAGAATGATTCGATAACCACTTTGCACATTCGCAGGAACGCATGCGTCAGCCGTTAAAATATGCAGGGAGGGCTTAGGGCCAAGGGTTGCACACGACAGATCTCAGATCTGAGTCGTTGGAGTCGGCCAAACGAAGATCCGTGGATCCGTCCTCAACAAGTCCAACCAAGGCGGAACGCAATATCAACCACACCCATGGTTGATATCTATGAATCGCGATGAGAACACAGTTACGTGTCGTTCTTGGTATTGATATGGATGGGCGTCTTGGGAGGTTGATGTTTATATGATTTGCCCGCAGGCCGTCGGGCGAAGCGACCGAACGGGATTTTAATGTTTCAGAAACAAGTCCGAGGGCTTCGGGCCAAGATCCAGAGATCTGGATCCTGGGGCTGGGCAGAGTTGACATCGGGTTTCATTCCAGCTCATGAGCATCTGTCGGTAGTTTCCTTCTTCATGCGGAAAGTGTGTAACTCTACTCTGTGGGAGGTGGATTCTGCCCGCGTCTCTTAGGGGAGTTTTGGATTTGTTCGCCGACCGTAAATGGTGGTTTATGGTAGGTAATCGGTTGCGGATGGTGTTGCCCCATGGAAAATAGCTGGACCAGACACGACAGCACAAAACAAGCATCATGCGACCTCTCCAGAAGCCGGCTAGCGCACAGCCCAACAGACTGCTTCCCCCCGGAGCCGCGACGAACACACCGTGGTGCCGGGGAGTCTGCCGATTAGTCCCCCAATGCCATCCCTGTACGCGTCCTCCCACTCGACATAGCATCCCAGAGATAACGTTTAGTCGCGGAATTACGAAACTCTGTCTGCTGTGGTGGAAGACTACCGCACGTAGGGCGAGTTGATAGACAGGCAGGTAGGCTTAGTTGGAGAGGAGGGGGGGTTGTGCGCAAGGATGCATTCATTCATCTGCACCATCCTCCGCTCGACTGGGAAAGTCTGACGTCTTCTGCTGGCAGGCTAGTTGGGGGCGACTGGCAGCGCTGTTGCGTGTGGTTGGTAGGATAAGGTTGCGTGCCAAGATTCTGGGAAAATGCAGGTCGCGGCGGCGACGCGGCGACGACGGGGAGTGGATGGATCGATGATGGTGTTTTAGCCTCAGGATTGGCCGGAGATAGCAACAAGCATCGAACCCAAGCTCCACACCAAAGAAAGAAGAAAAAAATACACTACCACCAAGCCCTCCTCCTCGATCCTACCTCCCACCACCAGCATGTCCCGCTGCCGCCCCAGCATGGCATGATCACTTCCTCTCTCATCGCGCGAGTGCGCCCCTCCCCACCCCCCTACAGCGATCCAATCTCTGGCCTTCTGCCGTCCCCGGCTGACCAGTTGGGCAATATACTACATCGGTCTGAGGCCAGACCAGCGGCTGAGACAGTCATGTCGATACGAGCCCTAAGTGGCAGGCCTGCTCTGAGCACCGCGATCGAGCCCCCACTAGCCATCTCCGGCGGCTTGCGTCGGTGGAGGATATATATGTCCGCCCCCCTCCAGGAGTTTCAGAGAATCAGACGCTCTCGCCACCACATCGGCCCATATACCCATCACACACGTAGACGACCATTGACTGGATTTCGATGGCCCCCTTGTCCCTCATCGACATACTCTCGAACGAATATCTGCTGCTGTCGACGACGCCGTACCTGCTGCCAACCGAACTGCTGAGCCTGTCCTGCTGCTCCCACAGCTTCCAAAATCTCATCATCCACTCCCGCTCCGCCTGGCGCAACCTGAATCTCTCCGTCTCCCCGCACCAGCCCAAGCCCAGCACCTCCACGGCGGTCGCCACCCGGCCCTCCGTGCCCCTCTACCAAACCGAGTTCACGCGCCTGCTAAACAAACCCTTCGTGCTCCGTGATGTGCGCACCCTGGTCCTCGACGGGCTCCCGGTCACGGTGGACCTGCTCACCGACCTCCTGAGCCCGCAATACCGGCTCTCCCTCCTCAGCATCCGCGAGTGCACCCACATCAACGAACCACAACTAATGCTGCTTCTCCAATACCTCGTGCGGCCCTCCCGGCCCGCGGGCACCCCCTCCCTCAAGGGGCTGTACTACTTCAGCTCCATGGACGCCCCCGGCGGCATCTTCCCTACCCTTACTAACGGACCCCCGCGGTCTCGCGGCCGCTTCGTCGCAGCCCCCAAGCTCACCGCCGAATGGGCCGCGATCATGCACGCCACCTCCGACGCCATCGCCTACGACACACGGCTGTGCACCGGCGCGCGCCACGCCGACTCCGGCGAGCTCGCAGTGGCGTCCGTGCGCCTGCCGCCGAAATGCGCCGGCTGCCACACCGCCCCGTCCGCGCACGCAGCCGCGCCCGTGCTGCTCCCGCCAGTGCCCATCACGACCAGCGACGTCCGCGCCGCCTGCCGCGGCCCCACAGAGGCCGACGTGCTGCGCTGCGAGGCGTGTGTGCGCGACCGCTGGTGCGAGGGCTGCGGGAAGTGGTGGTGCGAGGCGTGTGCGCTCAAAGTCGAGAAGGTAAACATCCTCCGCCCGCCGTGGGAACACTGCTTATATGTCGGGTAGAAACTAGTCACGTTCGATTGCTATGAGTGCGGCGCGATGTGCGGCGACTGTGCGAAGGGCACGAATATGACGTGCAAGAGCTGTCGCGGCGGGTATTGCATTAAACAGTAAGAACCCGTCTCCCGGTGTCTATATACACACCACTACTTCTATAAAGCAGACACTGACTCCCGCAGCAACGAGGGCGCCGACAACACCTGGGTGCGTCTCAACCCCCCCACCTTCCTCCTCCAGCCCGGCCAGCGCTGCGTGTGTCCCTTCTGGAGCACGGCGTTTGCGCAGCACTAGCCCTGCGTTGGCCTCCCCTTGCCCCACCCCCCTCTCCCTCCACACAACTTACTGACTGTACCCCCGCAGTGCGAATGGTGCAACTCCACCGAACGGCGCGTGCGGAACGCAACGCAAAGCCACCACCGCGCCGGCGTACCCCCGCCGGTACCGTCGCATCTCCACCGCCACGCGCACATCGCGACGCCGCAGATGCGGGCGCGGAACTTGGCGAGGCTGAATGCGCTGCGCGCGAGTGTGGCGCCGACGCGGTTTAAGGAGGAGGCGATTGTCAGGGTGGGGGTGAGGAGGGGGTGTGTGGTTGGGAACTAGTGGGGGAAACTGCGAAGGGGGGACAGAGGAGGGAGAGGGATGGGATTGGGGGGGAGGGAGGGGGATGGAATGGGGGATGTATATACCTTTGGCGCGAATGGGTGCAGGCGCTGGATACTCTTTACTCTTGACGGTTCTTGGGTTGATTTTGGGGCTGCGGGTGCGGGGCTCTACTTGTCGGCTTACTTGTTTTTGACTTGTTTTTTATGGCTGTTGGGGAGTTTTGTCACTTATCTATGGGGTTTTGGGGTGCAATGAATAAGTCTCTGCTCTGCTCTGCTCTGGATTGTGTGTTTATCAGTGCGTGAATGAGTGCAAACCCATACCTCCCCAGCACGCACCCGTTCCCTCTCTCCAACCACCACCTCAACCACTCCGTCCATCTCCAACCCCCATCACCACCCCGCCCCGGCCCATTCCCCTACAAACTCTGGACCCCACACCGACTCCGTGGCGCAATGGTAGCGCGTTCGATTCCAGATCGAAAGGCTGCGTGTTCAAATCACGTCGGGGTCATCATTCGTGGGTCCAGCGCACCTCTTCACACAGTTTGCACTCATGGCTGTGTGGGGCCCGCTGGATTGGACGAACTTCTGTTTTGGCCAACAACGCGCTCTGGACATTGGGGGGATGTTTTTGAGCGGGGAGCGGGAAGAGAGGAGGAGGGAGGATTTCGGGGAGGGGGGTTTTTGGGAGAGTTTTGGGAGAGGTAGGGGAGGTGGTGCGGGAGAGAGGTTTTTTGGAGAGCTGGGCCAGGTGCGGGAGGTGCCAATAAGGTGCATACAGACCCCGTGGCGGAGTGGTAACGCGTTTGGTTCCATACCGAAAGGCTGCGTGTTCGAATCACGCCGGGGTCGTGGGTCTTGTGTCCAGCGCACCTCTTCACACAGTCCAACCGCTGTGCGAAGCCCGCTGGGTGGAAGATTTTTTGCCGACGGCGCTGGAGATGTGCAGTTACGGCGAGGAGTTGGGCGGGTTTGGCCGCTTGGGGCGGCAGGGTGGGTGAGAATACGTGACGAAAGTTAGGAGCGAATGTGTCAATGACGGTAAGAATGAGATTGAGCTTCGTTGTACTGAAGAGGTGCTGGCTACACATGCGATAGGCCCGGTTGTGGTTTATCCAAAATGCTGAGATCTCCAGGACGTCACGGTTTTCGACGTTTATGGAATGAGAATCGATGGACTGAATATGTGCCAACTAGACCTTCCAATAGGTGATTGTCTACATAGTAATAGGCCTCACGGTATGAGCAGTTGGTTGTTACGACGATTTCGAGGGATTTGAGTATGTGAAAATTGGCAAACGTGATAAGCTAGGTTACAGGTAAAATGATGATGATAATGATGAGGAAGCATTATGGGAAAGCATTATGGGAAAGCAGTTGATAACAGTACCTCGTGATCGATACTGTGTTCTGTATGCGAAAATCTGAGCTCCGTATCAAGATGTGCACTGAACGTGATGAGATGATGAGTGAGAGTGAAGCAAGACGACGACAAGTCCCACTCGTGACGCTGTATGGTTTATGGCGCAAAGCTTCAGTCCTCCCTCCCTCTGCCATCTACCTTTACTTTACTACCATACGACTGCCATCACTACCCCATATCCCCAAGAGCGCACGCAGGGCATCTTGACCACAGCTAACCACCCATCTGGAACACTGCCTAGTATCGTTCACCACAACCTAGTAACCGTTCAAAACACCGGATATTTCACCACGGCTTACCCGTCTGGAACATCTGCGGGTGCTTGGGCGCAGAGGGTGTTCTGGGCGTAGAGGGTGTTCTGGGCGAAAGGAAGGGGTTTCTAGAGTATAAAGTATCGCAGCGACCCGTCCCAGGGTACTGTGTACTATGTACATTCTCCCACGGCCAGCAGCACGGGGTGGTGTGAGCCAACTAAAACGCCGGGTCTAACCTCCCAAGGCCTTCCAGAGGGCTACTGCAGTATATAAAATGCACGTAGTTATAGTTCTTGTGCGTCTATTGACGCGTTGCCTTGCGTTGCGTTGATGCATGGCTTTGTATTCACTTTCACTGTTTGGACATCTGCAAAAACGCGAGTGAGCTTTCATGCACCCACCGCTCGTTCAACCCCCAGCCAGCGCCGCCACAAGGGCGCGAAACACAGTACACTACCAGTCGACATGCAAAACCCGTGCTGCGGCCTGTCGACCGGTGTGCTTACTCAAAGAGATTCAAAGGTTCCAGTCTCAAGATCGAGTGGAATGCCGCTGCCGGGCGGGAAAAATATGGCTGCTGGCCTGGAAACGGACTGCACACACACACACGCACACATACATACACACATGGTTGGCACTGTGGTATTGTACTCGTACTCGATGATGAATGAGATATCGTGACTATCGTTACGCAAACATACACCACTGTTCTACCTACCCCCTCCCTCCTCCTCTCCCCCTCTTCACCACTTCCTCCCAATCCCAATCCGCATCACGCTCCATTTACCGACCCCTGCGACGGCCTCCTCTGCGGCAACGGCGGCGGCACCGGCTTCCTCTCCACCCCCCTCCCACTACTCCCACTACTACTACTCCTCCCCATCTCCCCATCCTCAACAAGCACCGTCTCCCGTCCATCCTCATCCACATCCACCACGCGAATCTGCGGCCGCCCTCGCCCCCGCACCGCAAAATCCTCGTCGTTGTCGTCGCTGCTCGTGTCTGCACGCTCATCTTCCTCAATCCGTTCGGCCTGGTGTTCCTGGTGTTCGCTGTAGCGCGGGGGGTACGGCGGCGGCGGTGGGGTGGTGCGTTTCGGCAACGGCGGGGGCGACGGCGATTTCACCGGCTCTGGGTGTGGCGGGGCCGCAGTCGTGTCAGGCGTTGTGGCAGGTTCGTCAGCCTCGGCAGCCTCGATAAGCTCCGCCCGCCGCGTCCACTTGCGCCGCCGCGTATACTTCCCCCACCCGTCCACGCCGCGGCGGCCGTCGCGCCAGCGGTTATCGTAGTACCACCAGCCCTCGCCGCTCTCCCCGGAGCCGCCCAGGCGGTCTTTCGCGTCCTGCCGCTTTGCGTGGTGCGCGCCGTCCTTCGCCGCGGGCGTCGCGCCCTCGATCTCCCAGTCCTCGCCGGGGACCCAGCGCCAGACCACGCCGCTCCCGGGCTCGGTGGCAGGGAGGGTGAATTCGTGAGGTGGGGCGCAGGCGTTGAGATGCTCGTCTGTCCAGGCCGCGCGCTCGTAGCCGATGCTGGGCGTCCAGCCGATTCCGAGCCAGCGACGCTGGTTTTCGTAGACTGCGAAGGTGAATTTGACGCCTGGCGAGGCGGAGGCGGTGGTGGGCCTGTGCGGCGTCGAGAGGGTGTCCGCACGCGTCAGAGGTGGGGCGCCGTTGGTGCGCTGCGGGAGGGGCGGAGGGGCCATGGACGGTGTCAGGGACAGGCCTGTGAGCAGCTCGGAGAGCGTGCGGAGAGTTTCAGAGCGCCACAGGATCGTGCGCGACACCTTCGCCGGGCGCGAGTGCCACGACAGCAGCAGCGTGCCGGCGAACAGCACGATGCGGCGTGCGGTGATGACGCGCAGCGGCCACACGGCGAGCGCGAGCCACAGCGGCGTGACGAGCAGGATGCGCACGAACAGCGAGGTCAGCGCGGGGCGCGTCGTCGCGCTCGTCGCCGTCTTCTGCGTCGACAGCACGTTCAGCAGCGTCAGGAACGGGTCGAAGAATAGCTCGACGCGCGTGTTCAGCGTCGTGAGCGTGTTCAGGATCTCGTCGAGCGTCGTCGACGTCGGCGCCGAGCGATACCGCCGCAGGAACATCCCCGCGATCAGCAGGGCTACGGCGAGGACGTTGCCGGCGTAGCGCAGCAGCGCGCCGGCGTACAGCGCGGTCGCCCAGAAGGCCGCGACGACGAGGAAGGACTCCCACGGGTCTGCCGACGTCCAGGTCAGCAGGCCCATGATCCAGTTGGCGGCCTGCACCCATGGGTAGGCTTTCGACAGCGCCTGGGTGACGCGCGGCGGGGTGGCGACGAGGAGCGGCGACTTTTGGTGCACCTGGAAGGTGGACTTGGACGCTGGCGAGGCGGAGACGGGGGTGAACGCGGCGATGGTGGGGGGGTGGTGGGGGGGCGCGGCGGGGGACGCGGTGGTGCCGTCGAGGTGGCTCTGGGCGGGGGACGAGTCCGGCATGACGGTCCACGGAGTCTCTGTGGTGTGTTAGAGAAGAGCAGAGCGATGGCGATCAAAACGGAGCCGTGGGGTTACCAAAGGCTGCCATGCACCGGCTCCAAGTTCATCACGGAGTCGAGGTGCAGTGCGTGTGGGCAGGGCAGGCGCAAACAAGGATCAGCTGTCTGGTGCCTTGGCTGATGACGACGGCTGGGGCTGGAGGAACGACAGCCGGGACTGGGAGGCGGAGTGACGACGGGAGGCACTGGTGATGATAACGATGATGCTCAGTGGCGGATTCGAGTGTCGCAGTCGTCAGAAACAAGCTTTGCGGAGCGCGCACGAGAGGTGACAGAAAAGATTTCGGCTATCTGTGAAATCCAAATGCTGTGGGGTCTTGTGCTTACATGTGATCCTGTCCATCGCGCGCTAGCCCTAACCCGCGAAGCCCACTGACACGTGAAATCCTGTCAGCGTTGGATTTTCTTCGGTAATCCGCATTCGAGTTGCGACGTCTCCACATCTCAACCCGTAGCTTAGTGCGTCTCACGATCACTCAGCATTTAGCCTAGCATCACAGTAGAGTACATATTCGCAATTTCTCTTGCAGTTATCAACACTTGTTTTACTACTAAGTTACATAGTCCTATAGCTTTGCCCTAGTGTGGGGTATCCCAAAAGAAAAACACATCCCCATCCATTCCCATCCATCCCTGAATATAAATAAACTTTAGTAAAGCAATAAAAAAAGCAATCCCGTGTCGTCCGTCTCATGACAAGTGAAATAAGGGGGAAATGGACTTTGTTCTGAAAAAAACGAAAACAGAAAAGCAAGGTAATATGATGTTTAGTCACACATGATGAACACATAGTAGGGAATAAAGATAAAATACAGATGGTGAACGCGCGAACCGTGGATTCCGAAACAAATGAAAAAGGAAATAATGAAACAAATAAGGATGATAAAAACCCCGACTCCAAAAAGTTGTAACACACCAAAGTATAAAAGATAAAAGTTACGGTTGGAAGCGACGACTAGGAAAAAAGATACGGTATGATGTAGCGGGTGTAAGATAAGACGGATAGAGTCGTGCAGTGTGGGGTGGGTGGTGGTACTACATTACAGGAGTAAACATAAGAATATGGCGATAGTGGAGTATATGAAAACAATATGCATCGATGGGTATCGCAGTAATGTCCGGCGTAGCGTTCCAGTCAGTCCGTCCGATGCGACCTATATCATCCTCCCATCGCCATGAATCGGCACGCCCACCATCGACTTCTGGAACTTCGGCATCGCGTCCTGCATCGCCGCCACATCCTGTGCACGCGCGCGCTGCCCCAGCGTGCCCCCATCACTCGTGCTCTTCCTCAGCCGATTCTTCCTTGGCTTCTCCTCAACCGCCTCATCATCGCTCCTCGTCGCCGCCACCGTATCCGGCATGGGCTCGTCCGAACTCCGGTTGCGGCTCAGCGCGCCGAATATGGTGTTCGTGCGCGTGCGGCGCTGGGTCTTGTTCAGCGGCGCGGCGGCGGGGACGGCGGGCGGCGGCGGCGAGAGGTCTTTCGAGATGTTGCGCGTCGGGATGTGCGACGTCTTCGACAGCAGCTTGGGCTCGGAGATCAGGTGCTTGTTGACGGAGCGCTTCTTGGCCGGCGCGAACTGCGCGTTCGTCTGCTGGATGGTCTGGATCAGTTCCGCGTCTTGCGCTTTGGCGGAGGTGGC